TTTTTTTTTTTTTTTATGTGAAGAGAAACACTTCCAAGGTGAGCATTACCAGAAAATGGCTTCTCTATTGAACAGAAATAATTGGTTTCAAATGCATTGGAGTGTGTGTGTGTGCATGTGTGTGTGTGTGTGTGTGTAGTGTGTGTGTGAATTATCGATTCTTATATACTCTCCTGGGTGCACTGAGCTTTATCTGGGTGGGGTACAGAGAGAAGAAGGAGTGAATGGCTTACAGTTTTTTTTACATCTTCTGTATGTTCTACAGTTGCACATGATTGGGGGAGAGCTTAAGAAGAAAAGGCAGAATCTGACCCTAGCATACATCCTTTTCACTTGGCGATTCACTTTCGGTAAAAAATATTAAATAATATGTAGATAGAGGATGAGAGGAAGATAAAAAGAAGAAACATGTGACAGTGAAAATGAGAGAGAAAGAGAAAGAGAGAAGAGGAGGGAGAGAGGGAGAGAGACAGAGAGGAGAAAAGGTGAAAGTGAGAAAAGACAGGGGGAAACAGAAGAGAGGGAAAGAAAGCAGGAGGAAAGAAAGAGGGAGGTGCTCTTACCAGAAGGTTGGGGTGGCCGAGCCCACTCAATGAAAGGATGGCGCTGTTGGATGATGGCTCGCTGGCACTTCTCCACATCCCCATTGTGTTCAATCATATCCACAATTTCCTGAATCCACGTTGTCCCTGAGGCTCAGAAAAGAAGGAAGAGAAGCAGAAACCTGCTAGACAATCTTCCCTGAAGAGTCCTGAGTAAACAAAGGGGATGTGGAGCTTGGTGTTTCCATCCACCTCTCCTCGGGTCAGTATCCTGTTAACCATGAGTGATGGAAGTCCACGTGGGATGGACTTTGGATCTCTGCAGGGAGTGGAGGAGCACAGGCAAGGCTCAGCCCACCCAAGAGCAGTGCATGGCAGAGCACAGCAGCTTCTCTGGAAAACCCAGGGAGATCAGGTATCCTGCCTAAGCCCCGAGCCCCGAACCCCATTGTGGAACAATAAGAAGGAGCAGATTTCCTATCAAGGGGAATTCTAACTTAAGAGACCAGCCCGGCCGGGCGCGGTGGCTCAAGCCTGTAATCCCAGCACTTTGGGAGGCCGAGGCGGGTGGATCACGAGGTCAAGAGATCCAGACCATCCTGGTCAACATGGTGAAACCCCGTCTCTACTAAAAATACAGAAAAAAATTAGCTGGGCATGGTGGCGCCTGCCTGTAATCCCAGCGACTCAGGGGGCTGAGGCAGGAGAATTGCCTAACCCAGGAGACGGAGGTTGCAGTGAGCCGAGATCGCGCCATTGCACTCCAGCCTGGGTAATAAGAGCGAAACTCCGTCTCAAAAAAAAAAAGAGACCAGCCCATGCAGGCTCAGCATGTCTTTGCTGTCCCTCTTGCCCTGCAATCACCTGCTTTAGGGTAGGTGCAGATGAGGAGATCATCTGGTTTGGCCTCGAAGCTCTGGATCTGGCTCCAGTTGTCCACAGTTGCAAGCTGCAGGAGGGTCCCTTCCACCTCTTTCAGTTTTATCTGTTTCCCCAATTCTGAGGTCAGGGCCATAGTGTCTCAAGGTTGGGGGTCCCTATGGGAAAAGAATAGAGGAGATTTTTAAAGAAGTTGTGGTAAAATGCACATAACATAAAATTGATAATTTTAACCATCTATAGGTGTACAGCTCAGAGGCATTAAATATGTTCACATTGTTGTGCAACCATTATCACCCTCCATCTCCAGAATTTTTTCATCTTCCCAGATAGAAACTCTGTATCTGTTAAACAATAACTTCCAGTTCCTGAGGCTTCCTCAGCTCCTGGCAACCACCATTTTTCTTTCTATCTCTTATGTATTATATATAATATATATTTTATATGTATTTTTATATATTATACATATTTATATATTTTTTATTATATTTTTATTTTATTTATTTATATTTATTTTATTTATTTATATTTATTTTTATAATTTATAAATATATAATTTATTTATATATTTATAAATACACATTTTATATATTTTATATTTTTATGATTTAAAAATATATAATTTATAAATATATAATTTATGTATTATATATTTATAAATATACATTTATATATTTATTTTATATTTATTTATATTTATTATATTTATTATATTTTTATTTTATTATATTTTTATATTATATATAATATATATTTTATATGTATTTTTATATTATATATATTTTTATATTATATATAATATATTTTATATGTATTTTATATATATATTATATATACATATATATATATATTTTTTTTTTTTTGAGACAAAGTCTCACTTTGTTGCCCAGACTGGAGTGCAGTGGCGCGATCTCGACTCACTGCAATCTTTGCTTCTAGGGTTCAAGCAATTCTCATGCTTCAGCCTTCCAAGTGGCTGAGATTACAGGTGCCTGCCACCATGCCTAGCTAATTTTTGTAATTTTAGTACAGAAGAGGTTTCGCTATGTTGGCTAGGCTGGTCTTGAATTCCTGACCTCAGGTGATCCACCCACCTCGGCTTCTCAAAGTGTTGGGATTATAGGTGTCAGCCACCATGCCCAGCCTACATTTTGTTTATCCATACATCTGTTGATGGAAACTTTTGGCTGTTGTGAATTAGATCTCTGTGAACATTGATGTACAAATATCTCTTTGAATTATTGTTTTCAATTCTTTTTGGTATATACTCAGAAGTGAAATTGCTAGGTCATCTGGTAATTCTATGTTTAATATTTTGAAGATCTGTTACACCATTTTCCACAGCAGCAGCACCATTTTACATTTCTACAAGCAGTTCACAAGTGTTCCAATTTTTCCAAATTGTCACCAACACTTACTGTTTCCTGTGTTTTTGTTTTTGGTAATAGACATCATATTGGGTGTGGGATAATACACAGCTCATTGCGGTTTTGATTCACATTTCCCTAATGACTAATGATGTTAAGCATCTTCTCATGTACTTATTGACCATTTGTAGAAATAACTCTTTTGCCCAGTTTTGCCTTGTATGTGTATGATTTTTTGTCATTGTTGTATTGAGGGAAGACTTTTAAATGCACCAAAAGGAGGAAGCAGAAGAAGTAAGCCACAATTACTCAAGGATAACTGGCTACTTGATAAAGCTAACATTTATCAAACACTTCAATTTGTCATCGCTGGGCTGTGTGCGTGGTATACATTAATTTATTTTAGCTTTTGCTTAATATGAGTGATAGAACTTCAGATCTGAAAGGGTCCTTACAGAAAATGTAACAGTACGAGGCCATGAAAACTGGCCTCGCTAATCTGGGCACCTAGTTTTCTCATCCATTTTATGAAATAACTGAGCCAGGTTTTTATTCATCCTCTAGCAAGGCCAGTTTTCATGGTAGCTTCTGCTTCTAGATTGAGCTGAGCCCTTTAAGATGAAGACAATTTTCAGAAAATGGAAGAGAAATTATTTCTGAAAATTTTCAAATGTGACAAGCAGCTGTATTTATAATATGTTAAAGAAGATGGAGTTTGGATAGTACTCCTGAAATTACGGTATGATCAACTTCAGCAGAGGAGGGATAAGAACAAACATTTCTTGTAGGCCTTCTGTTAGGTCCTTCATGGACTTTTCTTTTTCTCTCTTAATTCATATGACAATTTTATCAAGAAGGAATAATTATCACCTCATAAATGTGAAGAAGCTGAGAGTCACATGATCAATAACTTGTCCAGGATCGCAGCCAAAATCTGTCTACAAGTCTTATGTTCCTTTTTTAAAAATTGCCCCCTTTTTTAATGGAGAATTTAAAGGTATACATTGCAGAAAATTTGGAAAAAGTCCAAATGTACAAGGAAAACATCTACCAAACAAGAGTTATTATTATTTTGATGTACTTCTATCAGTCTTTTTCAAATGTATATTGTTGTAGGCAGAATAATGGCCCTAAAGATGTCCATGTCCTAATTCCTAATACATTACAGTTTGTGGCAAAGGGCTTTGCAGATGGAATTTAGGTTAAAGACCTTAAGGCAATGAGCATGTCCTGTATTATCCAGGTGGGCCTAATGTGACCACAAGGACACTTAAAAGTTGACAAGGGTGCAAAAGAGCCAGTCAGAGAGTCATGTGGCAGAAGAAGTGGTTGGAGATATTGGAAGCATGAGAATGACTCAACTTGCCATTACTGGCTTAGAGACAAAGGGGAAAACAAGACAAGGCATGGCCTCCAGAAGCACAGAATGAAGCCAACTGGGAAATGGGACCTCTGTCCTACAGTTACATGAATCTGAATTCTTCCAACAACCAGAATGAGCTTGGAAGGGATTCTTCTTCAGAGCCTCTGGAAAGGAACACAGCCCTGCCAACACCTTGATTTTACCCAGAGACACCTGTTAGGTGTGAGTTAATAAACTTGTGTTATTTTAAGCTGTTAAATTTTTGATAATTTGTTATGGCAGTGATAGAAAACTGTTTATACATAGTTATGAACAAAAAGTATACGTATATGTAAACATAAAACTACGAAACACTTTTTGGGTACTGCTGTGGTTTGGATGTAGATAGTCCCCACCAAAACTCATGTTGAAGTTTAACTGCCAGTGCAGCAGTACTGAGAGATGGGGTCTTGTGGGAGGTGTTTGAGGCATAAGGGTGGATCCCACATGAGTAGATTAATGCCATCTCCCAGAAGTGGGTGAGTTTGGTCCCTTTGCACATGCCTGCTTGCCTTTCCACTTCTCAGCATGTCTTGATGCAGCATGGCCCTCACCAGAGGGTGAGCACATGCCAGCACTATGCTCTTGGACATTTTAGCCACCAGAATCATGGTTCCAAATAAACCTCTTTTTTTTTTTTTTTTTTAATTTGAGATGAAGTTTTGCTCTTGTTATCTAAGCTGGAGTGCAATGGCACTATTTTGGCTTACTGCAACCTCCACTTTCTGGGTTCAAGTGATTCTCTTGCCTCAGCCTCCTGAGTAGGTGAGATTACAGGTATATGCCACCATGCCTGACTAAATTTTTGTATTTTTATTAGAAATAGGGTTTCACCATGTTAGCCGGGCTGGTCTTGAACTCCTGGCCTCAGATGATAAGCCTGCCTTGGCCTCCCAAAGTGCTGAGATTATTGGCATGAGCCACTGTGCCTGCCCATAAACCTCTGATATTTATAAATTACCCAGCCTCAGGTGTTTTGTTGCAGGAACACAAAATGGACTAAGACACACATTAGTGGGGTTCGAATTATGTCTTTCTAAGTTCATATGTTAAAGTCCTAGTCCATAGTATGTTAGCATGTGGCTGTATTTGGAGATAATGTCTTTAAAGAGGCGATTAAGTTAAAATGAGGCCACTAGGATGAGACCTAATCCAATCTGGTATCCTTGTAATCAGAGGAGATTAGGACACACTAGGCAACACCAGGGATGTGTGCACATGGAGGAATGACTATGTGAGGACACAGTGAGAATGTCCTGTATAGGGTGGGGGCAAGGAGATGGTGAGTCCAATTCTGGGGTTGAGTCTGAGGTACTTGTGGGACTTCCCAATGGAAGGGGTCTGTAGGCAGGTGTACATGTGAGCTTAGGTCTCTGGCCTGGAAATAATGTCCTGAGAATCATTCACGTAACACATTGGCCATCTCTGTGGTAGGTGTTGTGCTCTGCACAGGTAGCTGATGACTGAAGGCCTGGGTATGACTGTGAACATGTGTGGAAGGGCACCTGCTGCTGCTGAAGACCAGGGTGGTTAAGGGCTTGGCTGTCCAGTGTACTATGCATCCCACTGTATTGCTCTTGTTGGAAGCCTGCATGGGGAGTGACAGAACCTGGCTAAAGCTTGGAGAAGGAGGTGCAGCAAGAGACTTGAGGCAAGTGAGTAGTGCAGTGGGAGCCGAAGGACCTGCCAGTTCCCACAGGATAAGTTCCAAGCCTTTCTCAACTTCCCCAGTTCTCTCATTGCTGGGGCACATCAGCACATGATTCCTGCCTTTGGAGAGGCAGGCATGTAGACACACACATCTCCTGTTGAGCAGCCAGCAGGAACCTTTCATCCCATCAGGCCAGATCCCTATGACCACTTTTGTGGAGGCATTCCTGACTCTGTAAACAGAAATAATCACTCCTTTCCATGGGATCCTATAGTAGTTTGCATGCAAATTTTATAGTTCTTACTTCCTGTCTTACAATTACTTGCTTATAAGGCTGGTGTAAGAGGAGGGCTCTCATGGAAGTAGAAATAGTCTTGGCCAGAGAAGTTGAGCTGGCCCTGGAGGAGGATGGGACACGGAGGGTATTCGGGAAAAGATCAGGGAGGAAGAAAGAGATAGTATTATAGGGTAGAGAGCTTTGGGAGGTGATTGGCTGGGGTCCTGAATTTCTAGGTCTGAATTTTTAGGCTGGAGGCTGTTGGTTACAAAGTTCTTTTTATATTATTTTATCAGAGGATCTTTTCTGGTTTCAGTAAATTCATCTATAAAGTCACACCTATGTGGCTAAAGGCTAAAAAATAAACTAACGAGTTAGGTACAGAATTTCTTTTAAGCCGTATTCTTACCTTCAAGTTCCAGCTGGAAGTCAGCAGCTCAAAGGCACACCCAAGGGTCAGCAGTCACGGAAAGGACTTTGGCAGGAAGCAGACGGCAATTGCAGAGGGTCAAATTACCACTGTCTCAGAGTTACAGGGGCGCTCAGCAGGTAGCCAGCACTTTGGGAGGCTCTCAGCTTCAGTGTGGGAAGTTGAAGCTTTTACTGGAAGAATCTGGATTGAACAGAAACAAACTGTGACCTTGCCCTGGGAGGGAGAACTTCTCGCTGTACCATGATCACTCATGTGACCCTGACTGCTGTGCAAATACCAGCTCCCTCTAGTTCATATGAACTAAAGGCACACTTTCCTCCTCCTCTTGGCCACCACCTAGAGCTCTTCACATCTCTCCTGGCCGTAGGCTGCTCTGGCTCTCCCTCCTCCCACTGGCAGAGAAGCTTAAACAGGTGGGGACTGGAGGGAAATGGAAGGTTGGCTCTAGGACCAGATGCATCAGATTTCAGATAGGCTCCTGCTTATTTGATGAACTCCCTTTTCCTCCATCCTTAGCCTGAGATTTACTTTCTGCATCTATGAAGTGTGGGTAATACTGCCTGTCTCCAATCCATGCTTTAAGATTGAAAGCAACAATGTTCATAAACACACTGTGTAGCACATGCTTAAAACTGCTGGTTCTTCTTTCCTTTATTCCCAAACTGTGTTTAGGAAGAAATCCACACCAAAATGCAGAGAGGATAGAGCAAAAGTCTAGAGCTTAGGTGTCTACTTATTTCCACCTTGTCTTGTTGTACAAAAGGTACACTCTCCTGGAGGCAGATTATATTCCATGGTGTCTTTGGTTACCTGGGAAATCAAACGGACCAAGTTAATGATCACTGAACTGCTATTCTTCTGCCAGCCCCAACCTTGTACCTACCCCGGTGCTTTCCTTCTGGAATTTAAGCATAACGCCACCCCATCTGCGCTTCTTGCCAAACTTTCCCTTGTCTTCTTTGACCCTGTACATCCTAATGTTTCTTTGCTGACACCACTTCTTCCTCATTTCCAAAGAGCTTTTTTTTTTTTTTTTAAAAATTGAACTTTCATTTTCTACTTTTGCTGTCTTCCCAGTTCCACTTATCCCAATGCTGTCAATTTTCAGCCCCATAGGACTGATTCACGGTTCTTAGTGCTAACTCACATTTTCTCTGCAGTTAAAGTCCCTAAGCCTGCTAAGGTGTCTGCCAATATCAGAGCCAGGCTGTATGGCATGCTGCATCTCCCTGCCTTTGCTGTCTGCATGGGCCACAGTCTCTACAATTGCAGAAAGTGCTAGTGTCTGCTTCCTCCACATTCGTGGCAGATGAACTGGGATGTTGCACAATCTTCTAGCAGTCTCCCTATTTCTGGTCTCTTCCCTACTAGTGTCTCATACTTTCAGCATATAAATTAAGCTCAGCTCAGATAAAGCTATCCTCTGGTTGTTTATGGCTCAAATTTTGGATACTTGCACTTTGAATTCAAGACCGTCTAAATTAATTATTATTTTTTACAAGACAGGGTCTCGCTCTGTTGCCGAGGATGGAGTGAAGAGGCATGATGATAGTTCATTGCAGCCTTGACTTCCTGAGCTCAAGTGATCCTCCTACCTCAACCCTCTTGAATGCCTGGCTCAAGACCTTCTTTAATATAACACCATCCCTGCCGTGGACCCCACATACCAGGTGAACTGAATGACTTACTGTCCCCTGTATGCATCCTATAATTTCCTGTCTCCCTGCTTCACTCTTGTTGTTCCCCCTGCCAAAAATGCTCTTACTCTTAGTCTGGCACACTGCTGTGTACCTGTAGTCCCAGCTACTTGAGTCTAGCCTGGGCAACATAGTGAGATCCCATCGCTAAAAAAATGTTCTTACTCTGTTTCCATAGAGTCAAATTCTTCAGCTTAGAACCCACCTTTTCCTTGAAGCCTTTCCTTACGTTATAGCTGGAAGCAATCTCTACTGTGAACTACCATATGCTTTTAAAAAATAAAAGTTTTATTGAGATTAAATTCACATACCACGCATTTCACCCAAGTGTATAGTTCAATGCTTTTAGTTGTACAACCATCATCACAATTAATTTTGGAATATTTTCATCACCCCATAATGAAATCCCTTATTTATTTATTTGTTTATTTGTTTATTTATTTATTTTGAGATGAAGTCTTGCACTGTCTCCCTGGCTGGAGTGCAGTGGCATGATCTTGGCTTGCTGCAACCTCTGCCTCCCAGGTTCAAGCGATTCTCCTGCCCTAGTCTCTCCCGTAGCTGGGATTACAGGCACCCACCACCACACCTGGCTAATTTTTTTTGTATTTTTAGTAGAGATGAAGTTTCACTATGTTGGCCAGGCTGATCTCAAACTCCTGATCTCATGATCTGCCTGCCTTGGCCTCCCAAAGTGCTGGGATTACAGTGAGCCACTGCCTCATTCTTCCTACCCCCATCTCCGGCTTTAAGAAACCAAAATCTACTTTGTGTCTCTATAGGCTTGTCTATTGTGGACATTTTTTAAAAATTTAAATTTTCTTTTTCTTTGTGATGGAATCTCACCCTGTCGCCTACACTGGAGTGTAGTGGTGCGATCCTGGCTCACTGCAACCTCTGCCTCCTGGGCCCAAGTGATTCTCCTGCCTCAGCCTCCTGAGTAGCTACGTCTACAGGCACATGCCACCACACCTGGCTAATTTTTTGTATTTTTAGTAGAGATGGGGTTTCACTGTGTTAGCCAGGATAGTCTCAGTCTCCTGACCTCATGATCTGCCTGCTGTGGCCTCCCAAAGTGCTGGGATTACAGGTGTGAGCCACTATGCCCAGCCCTATTGTGGACATTTTATATAAATTGAATCATACAGTGTGTGGTTCATAGGATCAATTTGCCCTTCTCTTACAGCAATTTTCTCTTTTTACTTTAATGAGGAAATCAACTATCTTCCCAGTGTGTCAACTGGAGTCTAAGTCCACTAGTACCATTTTTTAATGAACATGTCTTATCTCTCAACCAGAATGGGCTATAGTATGAGCTCAGTGAATAGTTTTTCACCATGTACCCATTCAACTGGATTAATATACTTATTGAATCAATTAACAAATGAATGAAAGAAAAATTTTAGTTTTCACCAGGACTGGGACTTGGATGAGGGAACTAAAGTGCGAAATGTAAGGAGATACTCACTCCAGGATTGTTCAAGCCCTGCGAATGGGTGCTTCCTTCAATGCTTTGCCCTTTCCTCACCCTAGTCCGTGGTTTATACAAAATCCATCCACATGGATTTTCCCTGATTTGTGATTCATGTACGTCTGGAACTTTTTGAGCTGTTTCTGAGAACCAGGTAAAGTGTGCCTTCTTTGGAGTTAGAGGAAAGTCTCCAGCAGCTTCTGTCCACTAGAAAGACCAAAACCACCGTTGCCTCCTGGAAGAGTTTTGTGAGGGATCTGATCATGGTTTACAATTGGGAAAAGTAGCCAAGCTGCTTTGTGCCACTGGTACAAAGAGGAAGGCGCCTGTGTTCTAGCAGGGTGGCTTTGAGGAGCAGCAGGAACAAAGGTCTCTTCTCTGGACATAGCCATCCCTTTTGGGTGCATGTTCTCCTTCAGCTGCAACTGCTTGGGGCAAGCCTTGTAACACTTGCCTGAGTCACACAGATCCTTTCACCAAGTCCACAAGTGAGCAGACGAGTTGTTTCCTGCAGGTCCTGTAGTACTAGGTGGGCAAAACCTGACTTTTTTTGTAACTTTATGGATCTCACTTATTATCCAGGAAACTGGCTCAGCATTCTCCCAGCCGGTGCTCCCTTGTCTTTTAAAAAATTTTATTCTGTTTTTGACCATCCACAGTTTACATAATTACATGTCTCTCAGGCCCTTTTCCTCACTTTGCAGTGTTCATTGGCTTTAATTCTCTGTTTCCCTTTTCTTGTCCAACTCTTGTCCAGTCACCCAGGGAAAGACAGAGCAAGTGTCTTTCTCCCTCACTTTCTACTATCTCTTTTCTTTCATATTCCCCTTCTCATCCTTCCGTTTGTGGGCCCTGGCCCCACTCCAGCCATGGCTGATGGCTGTTAGCATAGAGATGTGGCATATTTGTATCAAGGAAGAGAAATCCTGAGATGTGATGCAGTTAGAAATAATGAAGACTCACACTTTATTAGTTTCCTTGGGCTTCTGTACAAATTGGGTGGCTTAAGGTACAGAAACTTCTTGTTTAACAGCCCTGATAGGTAAAAATCCAAGATCAAGATACAAGGTGGGCTCCTTCTTGGGCTGTGAGGGAGAATCTGTTGCATGCCTCTTTTCCAGCTTCTGGTGGTTTGCAGGCACCAGCCCAATCTCTATCTTTATCCTCACATGATGTGTGTGTCTGTGTTCAAATTTCCTCCTTTAATAAGGACATCAGTCATATTGGATTAGGGATCACCTTAATGATCTCCTGTGCAAATACTGTATTTCCAAAGAAAGTCACATTTACCAGCACTGGGAGTTAAGGCTTCAACATTTTTGAGAGGGACTCAATTCAACCTATAACACACTAATACCAGTTTTTGGAGTTTTGAAAAAATATAAGTTTCTTTCAAAATTTTCATAGTAGTTTTGAACTTCATTTACCATTTTCTCCAGCTAAATTGGCACTTTGTTTTAAGGCACAGACATTCAAGTAAATGCAATAATCTGTTTTATTTAATAACTAGTTTTACAGTAGCATTATCTTTTTACTTACAATTCATTTAGAGTGCCTGGTGTTTCAGCTACCTTGTAAGTTCATTGTAGGTATTACTCTGATCTTGAGAACCCAGTACTCTTTTCAGCATTGTTTCTTAGGAAAGTGTCTTTTAAGTTTCAAAAACTGAAACTATACTTTGAGCACAATCAATTTTTAACTGAAGACTTCCTGTGCAAGTTTCTGGATCTTTGCTGTCACCTTTAGATATGATAATTGAACCTTTCAAAAGCATAGAAAAGTAGACCCATGATAGTCCCAACACACTTTTAGGATGTCTGAAATTAACAAATAATGTTTTATACATATGTTAGGACATTGAATAACTGATCATATAGTGAGGGAAACAACACATCAAATGATGTGTTTGATGTGATCCTGTCTTTGTAAAAAATGTTTTGTCCATCAGCTGTATGGAAAAAGACACACCAAAGCCTGTACCCCAGAGTCAGCCATACTTATCTCTTGGGATGGAATGTGTCACTGGGGGTGGGAATGGGGGCAGGATGTGGAAACCACTTGTTGAATGTGATTGTATTAGTCCATTTTCATACTGCTAAGAAGAAATAACTAAGACTGGGTAATTTATAAAGAAAAAGAGGTTTAATGGACTCACAGTTCCACGTGGCTGGGGAGACCTCACAATCATGGCAGAAGGTAAAGGAGGAGCATAGGCATATCTTACATGGCAGCAGGCAAGAGAGCATGTGCAGAGGAACTGCTTTTTATAAAATGATCAGATCTCATGAGACTTACTCACTATCATGACAACAGCATGGGGAAAACCTGTCCCCATGATTCAACCACTTCTCACCAGGCAAGTCACAAGGTGGAAGAAAATAGTTGTAACATAGAAGTTGTTAAAAAATTCATATCTGGATTATATAAAGAACTGATACAAATCTATGGGAAAAAGACTGATAGCCTAATAGAAAAGTGGGCAAGAGACCTGAACAGATACTTCACAAATGATGATCTGACCAATAAATACACAAAGATGCTAATATCAGTAATTACCAGATAAATAATCAAATCAAGTAATTAAACAAGTATTTATGTATTTATTTATTTTTTAGACACAGTTTCACTCTGTTGCCCAGGCTCAAGTGCAGCTGTGCAAATCTCAGCTCACTACAACCTCCACCGCCTGGGTTCAAGCAATTCTTCTTCCTCAGCCTCCTGAGTAGCAGGGATTACAGGTGTGCACCACCACCCTTGGTTAGTTTTTTGTATTATTAGTAGAGACAGGGTTTCACCATGAT